ATCGTCCAGACAGCTTATGAACTTCCTAAAACTTCAACGATGGCTTTTCCAACCACAAGGTAGCAGGCTCCTCGCGGTCTAATATTTTTCTACGCAAAACGGCTTCTTAAATGTTATTCCCGGAAGGTAATACGTAGCTTGATTCCTATGGTATGGCACATTCTAGATAGCCTTAATCATGATCAAAATTCCCACAAAAAAAACTCAAAGGTAACTGTTTCTTTTCCGGCGAATAATTCATGTAAACCTTTTCATAAGACGTCTACTTACAATTAGAGTTCTACTCAACGGTTAGGTTGTACGCGCCACGCCGTCCCAATTCGGAAATCACGCATTACTTCGCGAAACTAAAGGAGAAACTAAATCCCTGTTAGGATCAAACCTCGCATGGGAACGGCATCAACAGCCTTTTCTCGTCGCTGCTCCTGATTACTTCTTAAAATTACTTCTAAGGCAGTTTGGCCCACTCAACTAGGCAGCACCAAATTTTTCCGAGTGTAGACAGCTCGGTAGTCCAGCTCGAAGACAACGAGCCTTCTAGGTCCTCGAGTTCTTTTGGTCTGAAATTTCCCCCTCGAACTGGGTCCATAAAGTTTTCAACAGCCAATTAGACGAATTCACCGATCTTCTTCAAATGCGGGATTTTCGTTTAACGCCGGCTATTTCCAACGCTCCGAGCCTTGCTGCCGACCACGCAGCTCTCGTCTAGTAGGGCCGTGCTTTCGGGATGAAGCAGCAGTTCCGGACTCCTTTTCTCCCCCACGGTGATTTTGCCCAGCCGTATTCCCGCCTTCCGTCCCAGGTGGAGTCGAGGAGACTTCCGCCCCAGGAAGAGCAATTGTTCTTACGAGGGGAGTTCACCGACTCCTCCCTCGTTGCACCTGGCCATCTTCGTTCAACAGTGCGCGACGGTGGGCCGGCGTATCGCCCGTGCACCTCCCTCCGTTTCTAACGTGGAGTTCCGCAACGGTCCCGTGGTATAGAGTTTGAGGCAGACGCCCCTGCAAGGCGGGAGCGCCGTGCCAAAAAAAGCCCTCCCTCGGATCGCCATGTTGGGAAACGCAGACACTTCCGAGCTCCTAAGGGTGTGGCAGAGCCGACCGGGCTGACCGCGGGGTGTCCACGAGGACAGGGCTCGTGGATGTGAAGAGGAAGTCCCGAAGCACCGGTGGCATCGTGAGACCTGGACGGATGGGAGTCCCGACTTGGCGTCGGAGCTCCGTTGAGCAGCTGGAGCAGGGCCCGCGGTCGGTATGAGGACCTCGCGGGGGGCGAACACCCCGAAAGCGAATTCGAGGTCTCTCTATTGGACTTCCGCGACACTCCGTAACCCCGCGGGGTCTGGAAGGAACCGTGCGCGGCTACGGGGGGGGGGGGGACTTCGGCGAGGTATCGTCGCGACCCGACTTCTCAGTCTGCGTCGAGCCCGCACTCGAGTTTTGACCAGTTGTTGAGCGTCTGTTCGGGATTTCTGAAATTGTAGTAAAAGGTCCATTTCGGTCTCGCGTTCGTGGTTGAGTAAGTAACGTGCTGTACGTGGGTGCATCGAAAGTCTGCGTGGAGACGGCCGAATCCACCCCGAAGCGATGCCTGGGGAAGACGACCGAGGCTGGGCGCCTAAGGAAGGTTGCGCGAAAAGGGGCAGGTAGCGAGGCCTGAAGGCGGTAAAGTCGCGGCTGTTCTGGGGTCCGACCTGGCCGTTAAGGGCTTTCGCATCCTCATATTTGCGCGTGGAGGAGTGTAGGGCTCCTCGAGCGAGGGACGGTAGCATGAGCAGTGTCTGGCCTTTGTAACCTAAGTTTTGTTTTATTAAATCTACTACCGGTTTAGCACGACGCGCTTCTTTTATTTTAGTTTCCTTTGCTCCCTGTCTAACCCCGCAGTGATCAGAAGCTACACCTTCTCCGACTAGCAGGGAGCTAGCCGGTCGGAAAGGGAAAGGCAGAAAATACCGAGTCATGCGATAAATCCCGACTGGCGCCCTTTGAGGATCGGGGAAGTGATTCCGCTACGCGATTCGAATTTCGGTCATAGATTGGCCCAAGTTTGCCGGAGAAGTATCGATCCTGCAGATCGTATTTGCGAGCACAGAATTGCCGTTGCATATCTCAGGGTCCAGCTCCAGGTTGGGCAGTGGAGGGCCCCACAGCTGGCATCGCCGACCCTAGTCCTTGCGGGCTCTGCATCTTCTCTTTCCTGTGTCGCGTGGCTCGATCCTGCCGTCTCTGTTGCGGGTCCTGTTCCTCGACAACGTCCTCTTCACCGCTTCGTTATTTACCTCTTTGTTAATCGTCGCGTACCCGCCGGTTTAAAACCTAACTACGCCTAACTTAAACTATATAGACAAAGGTTCTAACGAGAAGCCTAGACGGAAACACAAAACTTTGTTGTCCATTATCTCAATATCTACGACACAGCATGATTCGTACCTTAAATGTAAATGCTGATCATACCTAAAGTTGAAACGATAACTGATAACCGAATCGCAATAGATAACCTTAAAGACGCCAAATAATAATCCATTTTTCGTTGTTTTTAATCTTGAAAAGACAATTCATTAATTTTGCTCAAAATAAAGACAGCCTCTCCCATCGGCACGGGGTCTGACCACCGAGCCAATCACTCAAAATTATACCAAAACAGCGCGATTATCGTCCTTGTAACGCGTGCACCAATATACCACGTCACGAAACCTATGTAAGTCGCTTACAGAAGATAATTATATATTCATTTTTTATTATATTTCTTGACATGTACTACATAATCATTCGTATTTGGGGCGTCACAAGTTACACATCACAGCTGATATTAATTCACTTTTATGCAGACACTTTTGACGAATTATTCCATTCCAATAATGTTCACAGGGATAAGATAAACGAACCCATCATGGAAAATGTGATCAGATACATACAACATAGTCAACTTCAGTCGTTCGTTCGTATAAAATTGATCAGAAAATTTCACTTCTTGATTACTGATTAATTGAGTAATTAGAAAATTCTTCCTTCTGATTACTGGTAAATCGAGATGTAGCGGTTGAAATAAATGAAGTTAGACAAAGCGTTACACTCGATGAGAAAGCAGAAAGACATTAACTTCATTTACAAATGGTTACTACGGTAACAAAACAAGCCACGCTCTCGAGCGAGTGGAGGTATCATTCTGTGGGAAATATATGGGGTGTAACAATTATAACGCGCGAGGTGTGTCCCTATTCGGTTAACGCGGAACCTTACGATAAAATTAGGATCAGGATCAAACATGTTGCCCGTCTCGTCTTAATGGACGACGTGAATTTCCTGGATCGTATACACTATTAAATTGAACCGCTTGCCATGACGAACTATGGGGAGGAGCGTATCATAAAATCTTGAGCGGTAAATAACTAAGACACCAATGAGATATACAAGCATCACGTAATCACGGGACTTAAAAGGTCGTTTGATTTGCCACGTGAGGCGAGTCCGGTTCCATTGGCAGAGGACAAATCTTGGAGATCGGCCTTTGTAAGGTAGAGGTCACCGTGTGTCACGGTGTCGACCCGTACTTGTCCGTTCTTCCCTGGATGAGTGCTGAAGATGCGGCCAAAGAGCCATCTGGTTGGAGGAAAACGTTCGTAAGGGCGATGAGATCACCAGGGTCACCACTCAATGGGGATATGGGTCTTGAGTTCAAACAAGCCTCGATCTGGGCTAGCACCGTGCTTAACTCTTCATATGTTAACGTGCTTTCACCTATAATTCGTTTGAGGTGATATTTTGTGCATTTCACTCCAGCCTCCCAAAATCCGCCGAAGTGAGGCGATGTAAGCGGGATGAATTTTCAATGTGTGACATCGTTGGCTAACAGAGCGGAGAGGTACTGCCAATCCGTTCATGCAGTTTTGGGTCTTGATTGTAGCTCTGCGTCAGCACCCTTAAAGATCGTTCCATTACCACTTTAGTGTTCGGAGCATAGTCCTTAACGAAACGTGAAACGTTTAAAGGCTGCTAAAGACGCAGCGGTAGTGTAGTCACTACCTGTTTCTAAATGGATGGCTGCGAGGTTTGTCCCCATTCGGTTATCGCGAAACCTCACGGAAAAGTAGGATCAGTTTCAAACACGAGAAAACAGAAAATATCCCTTTCTGATTACTGTTTAATCAAGAAATCAGACATTTTTTCCGTCGTATTACTGATTAATCGACTAATTAATTAGTTTTTATTTGATTACCTATTATTTGAGCCAGGTCATTTGAGTGAAAAATAATATTGAAGATATTTCAAATGCGATGGCCTATAATGACAGTTTATTTCTCTAAATGAGAATCGTTTCTTCGGCACTGTTTGCTGACGGTGGTTTTGTAAACTAAAATAGCTTACATCGTCATGTAAAATATAGCTACTATATTAATATTTAAATGCTCCTAATTTTCAATACAGATTTTGCAATTAAATAATGTTTATTATGATGCATGTACTTTTATTTCGCTTAAAGAGCGTAAACTTCAAAAGAGAATTAATGAATGCAACCGAGAACGAGTAATTCAGAATTAAATTAAGTAAAAGCGATGTCTTGAAAAAGAAATTGTTGCAAGGAACGAAGTCGAACCCACGCATCGTTGATCATCTATTTGTGGTTACATAATTCCATTCACATATTCAAAGTGCATTTTAGGCACGTATATTGCAAATTGTCAACACCTATATTATTATCGGTGTTGCCAACCTGATCAGTATCATGTTTTAAGGAATTAATTTTTTGGGATCAACAATGACGTATTTAATGAATAACTTAGATGGTAATTTATTTCTTTGTGAACACTTCCGAACAACTTTAAAATTGGCATGGTAGATTAATGATCATTTACTATGACCAAGAGATCATATTAACGTATAAATGATTTATTCTATTTACCAAATTAAAGTATTCTATGAATAATTTATTATCATCGAAAACACTAAAGGAATTATCATATTATTGTACTCTATTCAGTGATACATCACCGTTTATTTCAGGCGAAATTATAGATGCACTTGGAATGGATAAACCTGAATTGACTTGCATTTCTGAAGAAGGCATCGCTGATATGGATTTACCGGACAATCTTCTTGATGACCTTGACTATATTGGCGACTGTATCACTTCATGTAATAAGGTTGAAAACTATTTGATGCTCTCCGAATTTGAGAACAACCTTATTGCTGAGATGCCGATAATTCTGGATCGAAGAGGTCGCAGATGGTCCTTAGCAAGATCAAAAGGTCCAAGTTCCGGTAGTCAAGGCGGCATCAGCCAAGCACCTCCCGAAGAGGAAGAATCAAAACCAAAATGGCGATTAATGACCGCCCCGCCAAATAACAGAGTTATTACGGTCATCGATGAAGCTAGCTCGTAATGATTACAGCGTCTGTAAATATGACTATATTTATTTATGTTAATTTATTTTAGCGTTAACAGTGTTCACACATTGACATATGTGAGCATAACTTGTAAAATCGAAGGAAAAGAAAATAAGAATGCTGGAATGTGGACGCTTTGTTATCTTCAAGACTCATACGAAACTTCATTCAGCGAAAGTATAAAGAATCTTGTACGTAGTTGGAGTCAAATGATAACGGAAAAAAGCAGTGGCGTTAAAACGAACGCCCCGACTAAAATGAATCTACACCGTGAATCCGTTTCATTCTTACTTTGTCGAGGACAATAATGCTTTCCTTCGTTTCGTTTGCATACATCGAAAATAATCTTGTCACTTGCATAACGAATACTTTTGCATTTGACTTGATAAAACCGATAAGGTAGAAGCTATTTATTCATTTAATTTAAAATTTTCGAAGAAAATGTTACATTTGTAACTGACACAAAACGTGTGAGATTCTAAACTGTTCAAGAATGAATATTATTTGTAGCAAACCATACATCACGTGCTATATAAATTATTGAAGGATTCACTAAACTAACGATCAATTCTTTTCTTTAATGAGTATTTTGTACTAGTATATTGATTCTTGTTGTACATAATGTAACAGTAAGTGCTTCGCAACATGACGGGGTTACCATTCATCACGCGCTTATTTTTTGAAGGGTGGTAGATATGGATGGGTTGCCATACTAGTACTCATAAATATGAGCTCGTGCCAAATGGCAACCCATCGTACTACGAAATATTAATTTTCGCACTTCAAATACGTGACGGGCACACAGTCATGTAAGACTTTTGTAATAAACAGAAATCCATTCATAAACGCAAAATGATAAAAATCATGCGTTGAATCAGATTTCAAATTTTTTTCCGCACTACCGATATATGTTATAATTATGAATGGCTTATTCCGATACTCTTTTCCCTTTAAGATTTAAAGTATAATCCAATGTTGATTTCGCGATAAATGTGTTAAAGCCAACACTAAAAATGAAATTACCACCTACAATTTGTAATATTTTAGTCTTCTCGTATTATCGAACAGATGAAAGTCTAAAGGAGGTTATTGAATGATTCCTTGCATATTTATTATATTATCGCGTACTGCACAAATTATTACGAAATATTGTATGGATTGTAACTAATTATGTTAAATATTTTTCATGTGATGGAATGGAAACAATGTTCCGTCCAATAAGGGAAATGTGACAGAAGGGTACAGATTTTGCAATTCCTTGAACTTTTTACTTAATATTTTGTTATGAAACATTTATGACACATTTAGAAATCATCTATACTACAGTAAACTTGTTAAGTCTCAACAACTAAACATTGTCAATAGGAAAATATGTAAGGATCATTTAAATAAAATATAATTCGTAAGTATGAGTTAACAAAAGAATTCATTACTAAACATACTATATGTAGTAAGAAAACATTTCCAAATATCCGCTGCCGACCTTATTCATTCATATATATGTTGAAGAGCATAAAAGCTAAGAGACGCGTATTTTCAAGAAACTTGATAAAGTTTTGAGCCGATTACATTTGAATGAGAAACTCGTAGTGTGGAATGATGAATGAAACGCGCTTTGCGCGTTTAGGCGTTAGCGAGATGCTACCGAAGACTTGACGCCAATGATCCAAATTTCAGAAGTGGGGGAAATAGAAATCTGTCCCTTCCAATATCATAGAAAAAGAAACGAACATTTGACTGACTCAAAAAATATAGAAAATAATCAGGAATTTTTTTTAATTTACCCGACTCCTATCGTTAGTATGTACGAGGCATGTCCGGAAAGTAATGCAATTTTTTTTAACCAATAGATTTATTCTAGATATCGTTACAAAAGTTTTATATTCTTCGAAGTAATTCCCTTGGGCATCTAAACACTTTTCCCAGCGGCTCTGCCATGCACGGTACGCGTTCTCGAAAGCTTCAATGGGGACCTCGGCAAGGGTCTTCGTCACGGCGCCTTGGACGTCGTCAATCGACCCAAAACGGATTCCTTTCAGGGCGGTCTTGATCCTTGGGAAGAGAAAGAAGTCGGCCGGAGCCATGTCCGGACTGTAGGGGGGTTGTGGCAGCGTTGCCAAGTTGTACTTCGCCAAGTACTCACGGACGCCCAGAGCGGTGTAGCTTGGAGCGTTGTCATGGTGGAGTTCCTAGGTAGTGGCGATCTCCTTTCTCACTCGGACGACCCTTTTTCGCAGTTTTTCCAGTACATCGACGTAGTAGGCAGCGTTGACCTTGAGGAACGAACTATTTGTGAACCACACCTTTGGCGTCAAAAGAGACAATCAACATCGTTTTCATTTTCGACTTGCTCATTCTTGCTTTTTTCGGTTTTGGGGATCCCAAGGTGTGCCACTTGCAGCTTTGACGTTTTGTTTCTGGGTCGTACTCGAAACACAATGTTTTACCCCCGGTAATGACATTATCCAAGAAAGAAGGCTCAATTTTCACGCATTCGAGAAGTTCAGTCGCGACAGTCACCCGTAATTCTTCTGATCGTCCGTTAAAAGCTTGGGAACCAGCTTGGGCACGCACCTTCCTCATGTGCAATTTATCGGTCACTAGTTCATGTACAATTGTTTTGGGAATGTTGAGAGTTTCCGCAATCATCTGGACACTCAACCAACGGTCAGAATTTAACAGATCGCGCACACGGGTGAAATTGTCGTCGGTTGTGCTGGTTGACGGCCGTCCAGCGTGGGGGTCGTCAACCACCTCTTCCCGGCCTTCCTTAAACTCTTTCAACCACCGCGAAACTTGCGAATACGATAGAGCGCTATCTCCGAAAGCTTGCACAATTGGTCGGTCTCTGCAAGAGATTTGTTCAGTTCAACAAAACTTTATCGCGTAACGTTGCTCGAGTGACGATTCCATCGCGTTTCGTAACACAGGCACTAGACAAGGGTGCGCGGAGACAGTGATCTTGACGCCCCAATTGCTCGGAGCAGATTGGCAAAGGAATTGCTTTGAACCTGAGAGTCCCCCCCACCTAATCCAACCGGTCGGAATTCTCTGCGGCCACTTTAAGGGGATGTGAAAGGCGTCTCTGAGGGGTCAAATCGTTTATAAAAGCTTTCTCCGAACTGGGTGAACCGAATCGTTTCAAATTTTAGTACATGAATACGGAAACCCTAATGATGGTCCTGAAACTCGCGAAATTTCATTTTTCATAAAAAAATTTATTAACTTATCATGGACTAGAACCAACGTCGCATATTTTCGATATTTTCACGCCTTTTGAAGGCCTAGAATCAAAAATGAAGAGTTTCA